AGGGCTCCTCCTTTGTGGACACTGGCCTTTCACAGCATGATTTTCCACACARTACTGAGGCATAYTACAAATTTTTGATTTAGGAAACCCACAGAGTTTTTGTGGATTTTATGCAGTGTAAATGCTTCTTTTACTATGTACTTTCCTGGAAACATAAGTTGTCAACATAAAAATAATAGAGAGCTGTATTTCATTTTTGTTCCTCCTACTCATGAAATTCTCTTTTATTTATAAAGCTTTCCACTGATGTATACAACAATTCATTTGGAAGCTTAATAACAGAGACAGCATAGTGGGAAATCGTTGGTACACACTGGGAGTTAGAGAAAGGATGACTGACCTGGCAATGAAAATCTCYGTGACAATAATGGTGCATGAAAATCTGGTGATACCCATACTTGAAAAACTTCCTCCCAATATATCTGAAGGYGTTGTAACTACAACTAAACTAATGGAAAAATATTTGACACTGGCTGATCCACAATAAGAAACTATTATTTTTGCTTTAAAAAAAAAGTAGCTGAAGTCAGCAAAATATTTACTTACTGTATCATTTAAAGCGTTTTTGGACAAATATTTTGAGAGCTACTAGATATGAATTTTGATCTGGAAAGTTTCCCTTTCAAAAGAGAAGAAATTGAGGCACAGATCCTAAACTTGTCTGCTTTTCTAGGAATGACTTAGTAAGCAAGCCAAAAGAAAACATGGATTATCATACCAGAATTCTTCTTTAGAGACAATTCAAATTATTTAAATTTTGATTTATTAAGGATTTAAGRATACTCTGGATTTTCATTTTTGAAGTTCTATGCACCTCAAATAATTCTTTTCATCAGTTTGAAGAGTGGTCTTAAAGATCAATTCAAGCAGATTCTTGTTCTTAAGGTTAATGAGTATTATTTTGAAAATTAGCATATATATGAGGACTATATTATATATGTTAGTTTCATTCTCTTTCATACAAGAAAGAGAGCTATGTAATTACATACTTTCAAAATGTCCAGTTGTGCATTGTATTTAAATATTGCTTTACAGATCATAAGGAATGGATAATAAAGCAAGCCTGGAGTTAGAATACATATGGTCCTCTCTCTGAMTGCAAAAATGTGTTTTTTCTTCTCAGTCTCCTCCTCATTAATTCCCATCCTCTTAGCTTGTCAATTTTACAGTCCTTTGTGTGAAGACTTAACCTGCTGCTGAATTTATYTCATGTGGGTTTATGTTTTCCTCATCTGAACGGTTTGTAATGCAAAACCTTCAAGGTACAGCTGCTGCAACCAACTTCCTCATTGAAGCTTGCCTTGCTCTTGKAGTCTCACTTGGCTTTGAATTCAAACATTACAAAAGATGAAAAGTAGTATGGTTTTAACTATTCTATTAAATGCTGCTAAATTTTGTTCCTTTGCTGTCCTGTCCACTGCTGTGCTGTGCAGAATTTCTTCAATGAGCCTGTTCTTTGTTCCCTTCACAAAGCAATAGAGGAAAAGTTGTGGGAAATTTTATCCTCTGGTATTTGTTAGAAGGTTTCTCTCCAATACCCCAATATTTTATATGTTTTTGTTAATCCTGTGTATGATTTTCCTATCTAAAGTCAGTAACCAGAACATTACCCAAAAAATGATGTAATCTGTGTACAACAGTCCTGGGTCAATCTAAAATTTCTTGGCCTGGACCAAATGAGAGAAAGTGAGGGGAAAAACCCAGTATGCATAAAGATATGTAAGGACAAATGCAGCTGAGTACTAAAAACCCCAAACTACTTCTGTGGTGAAAATGAACTCAAATAAAGCACTAACTTCTCACTCACTCCAGTATTTATAATTCCTCTTGTTGTCATGTTAAAACATTTTTAAGATCTGTTACTTTTCTAATATTGAATACTCAATTCCTCCATTTTCTAGATTTTTCACAGTTCTAAGRTCCTGGAATGTGATTTTACATGTCTTTCACCTCTTTGAAAAGAAAAAAAACCAAGATTTTTCTCAGCTGATTTTCTAATTATTTTTATGAACTGCCTTTATTTTTCATAATTCAACATTTTTCATTATTCATCATTTTTCTGGTTTGATTTTCAGTATTTTTCCTATTGAGCTTATTTTCACTTTTCTGAACCTGAGCAATCTTCTCTGATTGGAAAACAAAAGAAGTTGCCAGAAACATAACTTAATTTGCTACAGTGCTTTACTATACATTTTTTGCTATCCATCTGTGTAATTATATTTTGTTGGAGTTTCACAGCAAAGTGTTAGACATTTATTTTTACCTATTCCCATGTGCAAAAAGGAAAATATCTTTAGAGAAATATCTAATTGCCTACCATTCTATTTATCTCCAGCATTTAATATTTTGTCAGATAACTAGGTCCTGGAATAAAGAAAAATTCACTCCTCACAACACAAAAGACAGATATCAACAAAACTGACAAACTTTGGTGGACAACTACCAAAGAGTATTTTAATTTTGTTTAAGTTTTGGGAATTATTTGTGCAATTTGATGTTTAAAAAAGCAAATAAAATATTAGAAACAATATTATAAATAGGTTATTGAAAATTATTTGGTGGTTTTCAAGGGCCTGAAGTCAGCACACATTATTTTCAGGATCAGAAATCTGAACACTGCTCCTGAACTAGAGACCAGAGTTGACAATACAATACCTAACAAAAGAGGCCCTGATTTCAAACTTGATACATATTTTTGGAATGATTCATGTCTCGGTTCACTTATATGTCCATATATAAGACCGAAAAATTATTTTAATTTTTATAAGTCTGAAAATCAGAAAGAATGAAAATGGAGTGCCTGTTAAAAATGTTAATGACCATTTTTAGAAATGCATTTTTCTCAAAATTAGCTGGCTCCTAATAAGTATAATAAAAAGTAAAATGACTCTGCTGCTGACTTTTGAAGCATGACATTTTGACATTTCTCTGATTCAAACCAACATTTCTAAAGAAACTTTTAAGATGGTCCCTAGACAAAACACAGTATTGAAATCCTACTCTATTTCTTTTCAAATATAAATAGAAAGGCTCCCATTGATAACAGTGGGAATGCACAATGACCTTTTGCTAATTTGAAASTACAGAAGTTTGAAATGGAGATATTTGAAAGCAGAAATGAAGCTTACAGCTTGAATAATACATATTGTACTGCTTGTCATTTTTRTTGTATAATGCCATAATTTATTTATGATGCTAATGGTGCATGTGAGGATTTTCTTTCAAGGTAATTGAAACTGGTGATAAACATGAGCCCTTTAGATCATCATGTTACTCATTAATTACAAAACTAAAATKCCTTTACGCTGTATAATTCATTTGCTCTTTTTTTCCTGTAATGAACACACATTCTCTACAGATAGAAATCTATGCAATTTTTATAATGGACAGCAGGAGTTTTTGTGCCTCCTGATGATGAAAGTAAAGGCTTCRATTTTTTTCTAAAGACTAATAGAATATTTCATAAATATTCAGTAATAGAATGACACCTACTCCCATCAAACCTATTTCAAACCTGAAACAAAATTGGGAAATAATTGAGACCATGAGGAGATGCAATATGAGGAAATATTCTATCGCTGAATTTCTAGGTCAGGACATTCCCTTTCATACCTGATTCAGGAGAGGTGTCCCGACCCACGGCAGGGTGCTGGAACAAGATGATGTTCCAGGTCCCTTCCAAACCAGGCCATGATGATTCTATGACTTTACAAGAGTGTTACAGTGCTTTGCTGAAGGAGTTCCTGTTCCACTCACAGCCACTTCCACATGAAGAGGGATTAAGCTGAATCCAGAACTGCATCCTGGCACCCTTCCAGACTTATCATAAATTATGCTAGAAAATACACTACATTCTTCAAATTTCAATRATGCCATTAGTATACTGGGGTGTCACTCAGTACCATTTRATGTGACCACATTTKCTGGCTCAAATGTTTGGAWGTGGACCTACAYATTGCTGTTTCCAAATTTTACKTTTTAAGCCATTACATTATTTGGTTTATCGTCAGCAGGTGGGTTGTGTATGATGTAGCACAGGTGCTCATATGTGGTGGGACAGTAGGGCTACCATGATGTAGTAGTTTTTCATAAATGATTTATTGAAGAAGCATGAAAAATTTCCCTTACTGACTTTGAAGGACAATTTTCACAGAATACCCTGAGTTGGAAGAGACACAGAAGGGTCATCAAGTCCACCTCCAGGCCACCAGACATTCCCAGGGGTCACACTAYRTRCCTGAGAGYATTGTCYAAACACTCCTTGAGCTCTGCCAGGCTTGGTGCTATGACAGCTTTCCTGGTGAGCCTATTCAGTGCTCAGACACCCTCTGTGTGAAGWACCTTTTCCTGATATGCAACCCAAATCTCCCCTGACACAGCTGCAGGCCATTCATTCCCTTGGGCCCYGTCCCTGGTCACCACAGAAATCAGTGCCTGCCCCTCCTCTSCCCCTCACGAGGAACTTGTAGACTGCAACAAATCCAGACCAGATTTGTATTATTTTAAATAGCTTGAGGTTTTTTAACGCATTTCTGAATTATAAAAATCTCTGCTAAGATGTTACAACTTTCTGTCATTACCTAACCGATGCAAGCATTTCAGAAAAGGCTGTGATTTACTGTTATTTTTAATGGGAAAAAAAAAATGTCCCTTCCTAAGGAGCTATGCATATGTGACTTATTGATACCTGCAGGCACAGTGATTTACCTAATCAGGAAGAAGGCAAGAAAAGGGGATGAAAAAGGAATAGAAAAAAAAATGGAGATGGGGGAAGGAAAAGGGTTATCAAAACTGGCAAAAGGGGTGGTGAGTGCCTCCCTCAGCCGCTGGGCGGGGCGGGACGAGGCGCGGCCCCGCCCCRGTCTCGCGATGGCTCAGGCCCCGCCCCGCCGGTAACGGCCGTACCCGCCGGCCCTCGCGGGCGCTGTTTACGGCGGCGCAGCCAATGGGCGGGCGGGGGCGCGGGCCTCGCGGCCAATGGGCGGGCGGGGCGGTGCGTTTGAACGGYGCGGCGCGAGCCGAGCGGCCTGCCCGGGCCGGCGGGGTCCGTGCGCTGCCCGCAATGCCCGGCCGCCCCGAGGACTATGAGGTGCTGCTTACCATCGGCGCCGGCTCCTACGGGAAATGCCGCAAGGTGCGCCGCAAGGCCGACGGCAAGGTGAGGACGAGGAGGAGGCGGAGGCRGTGGTAGCGCGGCTTTGCCGCTGCCGCGCGTCCCTGCCCGGTGCTGGCGGCTCTCCGCGGCACGCGAGCGAGCGGCTCTGTCAGCCGCTGTTCTCCCTGCACGGCCCTGGCCGCCAASCCAGTCACTCCCCAGGGTGTTTCTGCCTCCGCAGATCTTGGTATGGAAGGAGCTGGACTATGGCGCGATGACGGAGTCGGAGAAGCAGATGCTCGTGTCGGAGGTGAATTTGCTGCGGGAGCTGCGGCACCCGAACATCGTTCGCTACTACGATCGCATCATCGACAGGAGCAGCACCACTCTGTACATCGTCATGGAGTACTGCGATGGGGGAGACCTGGCCGGCTTGATTGCCAAGTGCGTCAAAGAAAGGCACGTGAAATGCGTTTGTGGCTCGTTTTGAATGTCTTGCATGAGTCTTGAGCAGTCTAAAGAGAAGGGAAACTTATTTTTTATTTCTGAGYAGTTTCGGGTTTAACCCTTTGGACCCAACGATTCCTCAAATGTGGAAGGTTTTGTGCAAAATGACGACAGCGATGGGAATCGTGCTATTGAATGCATCACGGAGTTGGATGTTAGTACTGAAATAGTGAAATAAACTTATGTGTCTTATGAGGCAGAAGCTATTGAGGGGTTTCTGGCTATGAATGGAGTTGAAAATCTAAACTAGCAGGTCACAGCTCTTGTAGATAGGTAGCTTGGTCTGTGGGTTCTGGCCTTCCCCATGAGTAAAACTATTGGGGCCCTGTGTTTTATTAGAACATCTAAATATGTGGAAGGGAGGAGTGATTTTGAATACAATCTGAAAAGCTACTTTATGTGCCTGCATATAAAACTTGGGGAAACATCAAGTTGGTAAGGCTTCACCTTAGTCTAATCTTAAACTTGGCATCCTTCTTAAGTATAGTAATAGTTTTCACATTCTTAGATCAAACAACTACATGACACCACCTCTTTTACTTCTTGAGAAGAGTCTAAAACAGTACTGCAGCTGCCCACCAGCATCAGTGTTTTCATTTAAGGAAGGTTATATTAAAAAATCAACCCTGTCTTGGCTGTTTTTGTATTTTGTTCATTATTAACAGTGACAATATATTTTATCTCAAGTGATCAAAGAGACAGATCTCACCACAAAAGCATGAGATTGATATTTGTGTTGTAAGTAATGAAAATGCTCCTATATTTGTTAGACAGTTTGAGGGAGGAAGGAAATTCTGCAGGGATTCTGCAATGAAAGTCTAAATGTGTTCTAACATCTATGCAGTGATTTTTAAAACAATATTTTAAAAATAAGACTACAAGGATACATGTTGCTAACAGTGGTTATTTCAGTGATATTTTATGATAGTAGTAGTAAAAAAGTTATGGAACTAAAACTAGCAGTGACTAATCAAACTGATGTATGCTCAGAAAATTCATTAAAAAATGTATTATTTTTTCAGGCATTTCTTGGAAGAAAGCTTTGTTCTCAGAGTGTTGACTCAACTAACATTGGCCTTGAAGGAGTGCCACAGACGGAGTGATGGTGGAGTCACTGTGCATCGTGACCTGAAACCAGCCAATGTCTTTCTAGATAGCAAACAGAATGTAAAACTTGGAGATTTTGGACTGGCTAGGATATTGCACCATGATACCAGCTTTGCCAGAACATTTGTTGGAACTCCATATTACATGTCTCCAGTAAGACCTCCCTTCTATCCTTTATCTTCCCTTTTGCCCCTCCAAGATGTGCTTTCTACGGGCTGATTTCAGAGTCCATGAACTCTGGGAGGTTTTAATGAAGCCTTATTGGTCTTACATTCTCTGTGGAAAAAAAAGTCACCTGCATTTATGTTATGGAGTTATTTTAATTTCATTTCTTCCCCACACAGTCAACCGCCTTCTAATTAAAGTTGCTCTTCACTGTATAAGTTTTATTATGTTCTTGGGATATTAGAGATGTTGGAGTATATTGCTTCTGAAAAAGAGCAGGGAATTTGGAAAGCTTTTATGTTTCATAGTGTTAAGGTAAAGAGYTTATTAAATTATCTCCTGATGGCAGGGTTTTAATTTGTAGTGAAAATGAGCAGGAATGACTTATTTCCTTAATACAATCCATTTTATGTGGGAAAGTAATGTAGACTGAAATAGAGTTGTATCAGTTGAAGATTGGTGCAACACTTCAGTCTTCTGCAGTGTAGTACTGCCACAACTTGTTAAAATCCTGCTAGTAAGGGTAGATATGGACATTAATTAAGATGGAGTACTGGGAGTAAACCCAGTATATAATGGTTTATTTCAGGTTTGAATAGTAGCTGATTGTTTTGCAATAGTGGAACCATGTCTTCGTTAATAAACCTAAGATTGTTCTCTTTCTTTAGGAACAAATGAACTACATGTCATACAATGAAAAATCTGACATCTGGTCTCTAGGATGTCTTGTGTATGAATTATGTGCTCTCTCGTAAGTATGGCAGTATGATAACAAATGTGAAAACAGCTGCTAGGTATGATTGAATTTTGTATAGATGAAACCTTAAATGTTTCAGAGACTAGTTCTAGATTTTTATTTCTCTATTGGTCTTCACATTAGGCACTCAAAACAAACCTCTGATGGCAGGCTTTTTCATAGTCTGATGCTTTTTTGTTCTGAAAATAACTCCTGTAAAACTAGTGAAAGAATCCAAGAAAAATTTTCTTCTTCAGGCCTCCATTTACAGCTTTCAACCAAAAAGAACTGGCAGAAAAGATAAGGGAAGGCAAGTTCAGGCGAATACCATATCGCTACTCAGATGAGTTGAATGACCTTCTCAGGGAGATGCTGAATGTAAAGGTAAGAGTCAATTACTAATTTTTCCACCTAGAATTTGAGCTGGTACTGAAATACTGGTTTTTCTTCTCAATTATGAAACAAACGAACCTGAAGTAGTGGTTGTTATCACCTTGTCACTGGCAGTGTCACACGGGGGAAGGAAGGGGTTGTGCTCTGAATCCGCTAAACAGAGGCAGCAGCTCAAGTGCCATGCCAGTTTCACAGGATGCYAAAAGGCTGCCTCAGTATTGGCTTACATGGGATTTCCTGACAGCATACTTATTGCTGTCTTAAAATTGTAGGGTTAAAATGGTTCCAGTGTGTTTGGAAGGGGGTGTTTAGTCTTCATTTTGGGGTTTGCTTTATATGGCTAATGTATAGTTTGCTCCCTTGGCATGGGGTGTTAAGAAGAACACTGCATGGGACAACAAAGCTGTAACAACMACTAAAGCCTCCCACAGGTGTGGATTGTTCAGCAGAGTGTTAGCTGAGGAATCTGCTGACAGCTGCCTCTGCAGGCTCACTGACTCTGCACAGCCTCCTCCAGTAGCTTTGATTATCTGGTTGTGCTACCCCTTCCTAACTCCACTTTTTCCCAACCTCTCCTTCACTGTGTAGCACCTCAGCTAGTTTTGCTTGGGAACCGCTGCTTTAATGTTTCTTCTTACATGGAAATGTTGGTAATATCTTTCCTTTAGGATTACTGCCGACCTTCTGTTGAAGATATTCTGCAGCACCCCTTGCTTGAAGACTTGGTGACAGAAGAACAAAAACAGAATTTTGATAGAAGATGCTTGAGAATATGGGAGCCAGAAAGGCTGCAATACTCAGATGTTGCAATGGACCTGAAACGGAAGGAGCAACAACTACAGGAGCGAGAACAAGCCATTAAAGAGAGAGAACAACGTTTGGAGCGTATGATATTCCRTTTTGGGAAGGGGGTGGCAATGGGATTCTGATTCAGTTGGAGGAAGAAAAGTTTTCACAATTCTCATTTTAATGCACTAAGATATTGTAGTTGTTCATTTTTAGAATCATGTGTAAAGACCAAACCAAGAATGCTCAGGACTTACTCAGCTATAACTTCTCTTAAGTTACTGCAATATAATTGGCAGTTTAGATATGTAATTCTGATTTATGAGTATTAAACAAAATTAACAATTAGGAAACTATACAGAAAAGTAGGGTCTGCACTGGGCTGTTTAGTTTGCTTTTCACCTACTGTGTGAGTAAACATTGGCTGTACTAATGCTTAACCTAAGGTGAGCCTGTTGTTGGAGAAAAAAAGCTTTGAGTAAATTGTAACTGCTTTTATAAAAGCTGCACCCCACAGGTAGCTTACCTGTGAATCTACAAATGGCTGGTCCTCAGGTGTTGGCATTTCCTGCCCACATAAAATATCTGTGCATATGTAGTAGCTCTGCAATACAGTTTTTAGCCATATGTATGTTTTTTTTCTGAGCCTGAATAACAGATTCTACTTTTGTAAGCTGGGTGTTTAGTCATAGCTGAATTATAATACCTGGTATATAAATATTTAAATCTGGTGTCATGCATGCCATGAGTTAATGTGCAGAATAGAAAGTTGCTWTCTCTTCATTGTTGCAGACATGTCAGAGTTTGAGAACAGAAGCRTGCCTGGCATTTCAGAGTATTTGTCAGTGCTTTATTAGTGCATTGATAAAGGTGTAGCTAAAGAGAATTATCTTTGTTTAGAGCCATAGAATCAGAAAGTGGGTGCATCTGAGTGGCTAGAACTGCTGTCTTTCTGTGCAAGAAAAGCCCACCATGCACAGTCACTAATATTTACATGTTAACACTGCATACTACCATATTTCTACTTCCAGAGAGAGAACGGGAACTCTGTGTTCGGGAGAGACTGGCAGAGGACAAACTTGCTAGGTATCTTACTAACCTATAATACTTTATATTAGAACTCCACAGCCTTTTGACAAAAAGCTTAAACTTCTCTTCCTGTACCAGAGCTGAAAACCTGTTGAAGAGATGCAATCTCCACAAGCAGGCGCGGGAGGTAACGTGCGTGGAAGGTCCAGGTATGCAAATTCGCAAGAAGGCGCTTGCACAAGCTGATTTAGGCCGGTGTGACCGGAAGAAATCCCCTGCTGCTCAGCGAGCTCGGCACAGCCCCCTTGGGGCACTGAAAAGCCCACTTATGGCTGCATGTTTGGGAAGAGACTTTTTATTTTCTCCTTTGTAAAAGGACCTAATGAGTGATGCTCAGCCATAAGTCTGAGTTGGCCCTGTTTGYACTTCAGTCCTGTGCTGTCTGGGAAATTAGGTTTTGTGGTAAGCTAAGGGAAAAGTGCCTGCTTGTAACCCAAACCTTTCTCAGAGCTGGACTTATTTTATGTATGGCTGTTTTTTTACAGACCTTTGATTTAGTTAATTTTAATAAAATTGCACATATCAATAAATTCAGCTTTCTTTAAACTTCCAAAAGCTTCAGCATGGGAAATCTTATTTGTTGTGAGGGACCTAGCTGTGATTGGTGCATCATATAAACTGAAGAATACATACTGCTCTTATAGAAATTAAAAATCAGATGTGAAAATGTGCCACAATCCTTGACTGTCTCCAGTCCAATGTGTTTTACAGCAGTATTTGATACTCAGTGAGGATTGAACAACCAAGGGCAATCGTAAGGTGCAGTAGCACCTGTTTATTGCACCCATCTTTTATTATTAAAAACAATATTCAAGTATCTAAATGCATTTTTCAGTAGTGGTAGGAATAGTGAAGGGCTGGGTCAGAAGTAGTACTCTAGAACAAAGATGTGCAAAGACCCTTTAACATGCAGCAACACTCTTCATTTAGTTTTGGTCTGATAAGCAAGATAAGCATGTCACTGCCTCCAAAGCAGTAAACTGAAGTAGCTTTTTTTTTTTTTCCAAGAAGTGCCTTTCACGGCAGGAAAGAACACAAGTAAAATGCCCCTAGAAAGTGAGTGCTCCTTGAGCTGTTTCTAACATTTCAACTTTGAGAATTCCACCCGTCTCTCAACATCTTGTCTGACTTCAACATATTAAAGAATTTGAGAACCAACTTGCTTTTGGCTTTCTGATGTTGCATCTAAAACTGGATGACTAAAGGCAAATGAGCTTCAGCTCTTGCTTCTGTTCTYTGCATTTCCCACCCCTTTACATTATATTTTGACCTTACTGGGCACATTAATTTTTGAGGATAGGCAAAACCAGCTTGGGTGGTTAATACCTCAAGATTGATAATGCAGCAAAATGAATATAGTTATTACAAGACTGACTAGCTCTTGCAATATCTGTAAAGGATATGATTTGCTGCCCTTCCAATTCATTCCAAGGTGYTTCTCTAACCCTGTTTCTAGAATTCTGGCTATTCTCATAGAAATGCACTAAGTGTTTTTCCAATATCATACCAAGAATGCTTGCTTGTATTTCCAGTTGTTCAAATATTGCTGTATTTTTCACAACTGGATTGCATCTCACATATCTCTTAGATCCCTAATTTCTCCTAGAAGTCCATGGGGTGGTTCACTTGACAGTAAAATGGAATACCAAAAACCTTGGTTTCTAAGACAGTGTCCTAGACACTACCCTGTTTTTGCAGGGTAATTCACTAATTCTTAGTGAATGTTTTAATTTTAAAACAGATCTGACTTARAGTAATGAAGCTACAATATTCTGATAGATTTTCTGGCTTTTTCGGTTCCTTCTTGCTCTTTTGTGCTTATTGCATTCTTGCTGTGGCCTAATAAATTGAAAATTAAGCCTTCAGTGGTAAGATTAGAATAGTCACACCTTTGATTAAATAAAAATCATGCCTTAAGTTGGGCCTTGTGGAGTTGGCTCTTATGAGAGGCAACTCAGCTGTTATAATAGCTTTTGATGGTAGTTTTTGTACTCTAGAGTCATTAACTGCCTTCTGATAGTGGCATGCAATAAGATACACTATGAAAATGCCTGTTCTGGAAGCTGCAGTAAAACTAACTTGTCAATTTTTAATGCACCTAAATTCATTACTCAAGTCAGAACCTAATTTGTATCCCAGTGACTTAATACAAGGATAGAGTTGGAACAATGCGGGTAATGTATAAAGACCAGTARACAGGTTGAGTCTGCCCCTGCTGTGAAGCAAAGAAAGTTTTCTCAGTAGCTGAAAAAGCTGAAAATTCATTCTGCATTTTCTTTTGGAACTGAATTATGTTACTGTTTCATTTCAGAAGAAAGATTATTTCTTTTCTTGTTAATCAACAATATTTCTTTACCTTAGGTATTGGGATGTCTACCCTAAAAAATTCTATGGCATAGATCCTTTTACCACAATCATTTAAAAGTCTTATTTTCATTTTTTTCTCAAAAAATAGAAAAGAATTGTTGCTATTCACTGAAATGCATTTAATTAGATCACTTAAAGCCATAGGTAGATGACAAAATGGGCACCAGGGTTAAAAGCAATAAATGCTGGAAGATGCACTAATGCAGTACTTTTTGATTTCTTAAGATAATGCACTCCTGCTTCCCTTTTCTTCAATCAAGAATTCACTCTTTGATGGAAGTGAAGACAGAGCTGTGTCTCCTCATAATATGGAAAACTATTTCCTTTCCAAAGGGAAAAGCTCTGATCTCAAAAGGCGTCTATATGCTGCAAATCTACGAGCTCAAGCACTGGCTGAACTGGAAAAAAATTATCAACTAAAGAGCAGACAGATCTTGGGCATGCGTTGAAACTGTAACAGATGTATTTATCTTTGAAAAGATGATTAAATGTATAGGCAGATACTTGTGCCTCCCTCTTTTAAGCTAGAACCTACTGAGAAATTATTTTAACAGTGTTTGTACAAATTCTTAGCTTATGATAGGTAGTTTATGATAAACACTATATGGTGAAAATAGGTGATTTGATACCAAATAAAACAAACTGGATTAATTGTTTTATTAAAGAAAAAYATTTTGGTCCTATTTACCATTTACTTTTCTGAAAATATAAAGAATGAATATATATAAATGATTTGTTTTAGGATCTGATGTGAAAAACATTTCAGGTAAAAAATGTACAGAGATTCACAGTCTGTAGGTTTAAATGATGYTGTATGTAATGCACATTTGTTGATAAAGAAAGTACTGATATTCTGTATATGTGGGAAAACAGTGGCTTCTTTTCTGCACTTGTAAATATTTTTTATCAAGAGTGCTAMAATTTTATGCTGTCTCTTCCTACTAAGCAAGTGACCTATCAAAACAGGCTACTTTTAATGTAATGTTTTAGCTAATGAGTGGGGTGGGTCAGAATAACATGATTTATGAGTTTATATTTCTTTCTGCCTGAATGCCTTGTCCATCAGCTGCTGCAAGGCCTGTATCAGGGCATGGCATTTGAAATAACACCTTTGCTTTGCCTTGAATCTGTGTTATAAACTGGTCCCCTGAGACTGCTGTCCAGAATGGGACACCATCCAGAGTATTAGCATCTGTGTTTTGGGGCGGGGCAGTTGTCCTTTAAATAGTAAATCCTTATTTTCTTGAAGCTTATGAGATATCTCCTTCTTACCCTTAGCAATTCTCTGCTGGAGCAGGAGTTGTTCATTTAAGGTGGTGTAAGTTTCATGCACTCAGACTCATGAATTGAAAAATCTCCTTTGAAACTGTAATGTCTGGCATATGTTTTATATAAAGATTTTTTTTTCTCTCTGGATTGAAATGCTATAAAACATCCATTCTTAGAAAACAGCTTGTTTTCAAAACATTTGTTTCCTTATTGGGTTATGAATGTTGTCTGAGGAGATATTCTAGATGGTTTTTACTTCATAAGAGAGAATCTTGTTTGAAACATCAATTTAATTTGATATTGTAGATGATCTTAAGGGTCCTTTCCAACCCAAACCATTCCATGATTTGCTGATAGACAAATAGTTATGTAASCAAAGAATTCTGCTCTAGCAGACTCTTAACCACCCAACAGAACTTAACATTTGATTGTATAGTGGTTACTGTTTTCACCACAGCCTTTGCTTAAAAGAATGAGACAKGACTATTTTTGTTTGCTAATCTAAAACTACCAACATTCTGGTGGTCGTTCCCCAGCACTAGGTGTGGTGGAAATGCCTGGCAGGTATATACACACAGCCAGAGTAGCTGTGCCAAGTGGATCAGTGCAGCCTTCCTCGGCATTCTTTTGTAGTTCTGAAGCTTCTCACACAGTATGTGGAATTCCTGCTTTGTCACTGCGCTTGCACATTCAGATTTTTCTGGTTTGTGCCTCACCCGAATGCAGTTTCATTGGCCTTCATGTGGATCTTTATGGTTTAGAATATGCAGTGGTGTTAGTACAATCTGAAGAAATATGCAGGATGAAGAACGTTTTGTCATCTGTAAAATACAGGTATCAGCGAAMGGAGGAAACCAAGCAGCCAAGAAAATAAATTAGTAACGATTAATGAAAGACCATATTCATGGAATCACAGAATGGTTTGGGTTGGAGGYGACATTACAGATCATCTGGTTTCAACCTCACTGTCATGGGCAGGGACACTTTTCACTAGACCTGGTTGCTCAAAGCTCTGTCCAGCCTGGCCTTGAACACTGCCAGGGGCCATCCAGGAAACATTCACATCCCCTCTGGGCAACCTGTTCCTGTGCCTCRCCACCCTCACAGCAAAGAATTTTTTCCTAGAAACTTATCTAACCCTACTCTCAGTAAAAACCATTGCCCCTTGTCACTACATGCTCTTGTAAACAGACTGGCATCTTTCTTGTAGGCTCCCTTCAGGGAGGGAAGGCCACTATTAAATCACCCCAAGGCCTTMTCTTTTAGTGAACAATCCCAGCTCTCTTAACCTTTCCTCATAGAAGAGGTGCTCCATACCTCTAATCATCTTGTGAAAGGGTGTTTACAAATGCTTTGCTTTTAACAAGACCAAGGGAAGAAAATGGCTTGAGAGGTTGTTTTCCCCTTGGAGCACTCATTTCTCCCTTTAAAAGTAAAATGCCTTGAGAGCACTGTCTGTGGCTTTCCTCTTTAATTCTCTAGTAGCCTCAAGATGGCACTATTGTCTTGTCATTTCTGAGAATTTCCTCTATTACATTCATCCAAAATCTAATCTCTTATTTACATTTATTTTTACCTGTTTTGTTCTAAGCACGTTGCTGCAAGATGCTGACTTTCTTCGGCTACGGATGCTGAGTACTTGCTGGTGCAATTAATTATAATTATCTCTGATTTGCCATTTTGCATCTTTTACGTGTGCATTATAAAAATAGTTGAATCAAAGTCCTAGTTAACAATTACACTGTTGTGAATCCGAAATGCTACAGAGAGTGCAAACTGTATCACTCACAATGGCAGTAATAAATGAGAACAGCTTGGGTTACAACTGTAGCATTAAGCCACTTAACTGCCTTACTTAAAATGTCTTCTTGAAGTATTCTCTAATGTCGTAAACGAAGTATTTCTTGAGGTTTTTGAAATAAGAACTTCCTATCAGTTCGTGTCAAACATAGCGAAAGGCATCCTGGAGATGGTCTTTCTTCTGTCTCAGGATTTTTGCTTTGGAATCCTGAAATTCACATTTTTCAACAAGGGTGTAATTGTTTTTCCAATAGAACGTGTGTAGCATTGGAATCACATTCAGGATGCAATTTTCAAACACATTCAGGAAATAGAACATTCATTAATACAACATTTATGGGAATGGTGACTGCTTATGGAGTGCTTGCAAAACGTTGCCATTATGCTGATGTATAAATTCATGTCTTAAAATGGAAGGTAAGTGTGTACATATGCATATGGTACAGCCTAAGCCTTACAGGATGATAATAATGGTGTACACTGTGGAATGCTGTGAGATAAATTAATTAATGTTTAATACAGATGTCGGGAATGTTAATAATATAATTAGTTGTAAGCACTTCTGAAATTACAGAAGTTTTATATGCACAAGAATATCAAAGATAGCCTAGAGGGGAAGTTGTGTCGTATCTGAAAAATACAGACCACTTTCCTGATTTTTAGCAATCATGCCTTGTCCCCTCTGCAGCCAGCAGAACAGACATTTCATGTGACTACAGCACTTAAACAGTGTGAAAGGGCTGGACTGCTGGGCAGATATAATGYTTAATAAAAATCAGACATAAATATAGATGACCATCAAACTTCTTCCTAAAAGTGGGAGATGCCACCTCTGAGTTTCCATCTCTTTGGGTCCCTGTGGCAAGTGTGGMCCCTGCACCCCAGGTGGGTTTTCTCCACTGTGGTAATCTGCATATCTCCTCTGCTGTGCCGGAGGTCCAGTACCCCCAGCATGGGGTGTTGACAGAGTCTAGGTGTAATAGTATAGAAAACTTCTCAGGAATACTATCTTGCAGCCAGAACCCACTATTTTCTGTTGTGTTCTTTATTGCCCCAAAAAAATAGTAAAACCCCAGTAGCGGCATTTCTAGGTTTTCACCCAGCTTGAGTGGTTATTGCTTAGGGTTGATAGTTTAGCCTTTAGTGTTTGCCATGGATTGCCAGGAGTTTGTGACTTACAGGGTATCCTGTGGTCAAGGGCCTATGGTTTACTTGATCCATGTGCTCTCAGGCCTCCTGCTTTTTTGTTTAAGATTCACAGCCTATGTTTAGTGTTCTGTTGTTTGCTAGAGTAAAAAATAAATTCCTGAAAGACACAACTCTCAAATTCTACCCCTGAAGTAAGATTTGTAACCTTCTTCCCTCACTATGCAGGGTTCATCTCCCTGTGGTCTGTGTTGACTGATCCTGGGATTCCTCCTGGTTCAGTTAATGAAGTCCACAGAATGGGTCAAGCTGRGGTGAGTGAAGGGCTGAGTGGGGAGGTGTCAGGAGTAAACCCAGTGTAGACATTTCTCTTTATGAGGAGCTCCTGGAGACAGAAAGGAGAGGCAAGAGAAGACTTCTTCATCTTCCAAGATCCCCTCTTCCTTCAGTATCCATTTTCCAATCAACAGAATTTATTTGATCACTTTTTATGTCCAGGGGCACAAAGCACTCCAAACTGAACCTTGCTAGAGTCCAGCTCTGCCTGGCTATTTTGCAGAGGCCTACAGGTGGAAGATGAGGAATTTGGGCAGGGGTTGAGCTGAAATGGCATTTTGCCTCTTCTGATTTCCTCACAGCTTTCACAGGGGGCAAGATCTCTCTCCCTACAACCCACTTGCTTTTCACATTCACACATGCCACTGGAGTGGCTGCTGCAGTTTGAAACAGGGGCTGTTGTTTCATTCTTTGGGYTGCCTAAGCCCACCCTATGCAATAAAGCTGGTGAGTAAGGACACAAAAAGATTACTTTGGAGGAAGGGGACCRAAACCACTAAGTTTGTTTTTGACAGTGAATAAAGTGTTTCTTCCTTTATAAAAAGTTTCCTCTTCCCTTCCTTCAAACTCATAGGCTGAGTGATGATGTTGTGGTTTGATGAGGTGCTGGCACTCCTGGGAGAAGGAGAGAAACCAGAAACTGCTGGTCAGAGGGAGAAACCTCCTGTTTCCCYCTCTCCCAGTGTCCCCAGGGCTCAGACCACGCTGGGGCTGCTCAGAGCTGCACCAAAGTAAATTTTCCATTTTGGAGAAGATCAGGATGAAGGGATATGTGCCACCTGCCCCATAGCTGCAAGAGCGGGATGCCTGTGTGCCACCTGCACTCTCCCAACACTTTATTTGCTTCATGCCATGAAACCACATACCCATGCTGAGACACCCGCRGTGGGAAGAACAGCCAGCCCTGGATGATGTCCTCATCATTGTCGACAGGAACGTTCCCACAGACCATGGAATCGAGCAGGATGTCCAGGGATCAAATTGTCACTGAATGGCTTCGGTAGCAGTGAAAGCAGATCCATTCTAGTGGGCTGTACTCCAGCATTCCTGCAGGACACAAGTAGAACTCATCAGGGAGGTGCTGCTTCCTCTCAGATCCTTATTCATTCGGGATCTGAGAGCTGCACCAGTGGCACAGGGTGTGACCCACTGCCTTCTCACCMGCACCTGACTCTTGTTTACAAACTGTGGGTTGTGAAACAAAGCCTCTGGTGCTGGGAGAGGACAGCTGAGTAGGGAAAACCCTGCCTTTATCCCCTTCCCCCCACGCCTGCATCGGCCAAGAAAAATATAGATTAAAGCCGAAAAAGGGAGTAGAGCAGCCCAAATCCTTCTGCACCTGCAAACAAAATCGGAATCCCTGCTCCCTAGGACATCCCTGAGGTCCTGAGAGCGCTCTGGACGCTCCATCGCAAGCACAAAGCTATCGGGGAGCTCGAACCAGTCCAGGAGCCGGACGATGGCCGCAGAAGCCACGAGCGGACACCCTGAGGAGCAGCACCAGCGGAGGTGGGGACCGCGGTGCCGCCAGGGGGGCTGATGCTGCCCCGGGGGTCCGGTACCCCCCGCCCAGGGGATGCCCCGGTGTTCCCCTGCTCGGCCCCGCCAATGCTCGGCATTCCCCGGGCCCGGCTGCTCCACGGCCCCCGCTGCCCCCGYGCCCGCTCTCCGCAGCGTCCCGGGAAGAGCCCGGCGGAGCCGAGACCACGGCGGGAGTCCAGGGCAGGGAGGGCATGGGAGGGATGAGCGGGATAACGACAGGGAGAGGAGGCAGAAAACCCCTCAGGAGAGTCACTGCTCCTGCTGCTGATGCTGCAGATGCTCTATTGGTCACTGGCATTTTAACTTTTTTATTTTTTATTTTTTTTTCCAGTTTATATTCTACCTTCAAAGCCACTTTCCTGGAAGTGAAGCAGCACTTGATGCCGAGGTAAGTTCTAAGCTCAGCATTATTGCAGAGATTTGAAGCGTTTGCACGGGCCGTGCCATATTTGCATTGCCTCACTTGCATGCAAGACTCGCTGTCACAAATGAAAATTGATTCTAAAGGCTTGCTGCTGGTCCTACCCCTGCATCCCTTACCGAGCTGTTTCTCCGCATCTTCAGCTTGGGAAAACCGACACCTTTCTAAAAAAACAAACACAAAACAAACAAAAAATTAAACCCGAAACAAAAATCCCCGAACAAACAAACAAACAAAAAAGAACCACACAACACCCCCACCAAACCCCTCACCTTTAGAAAATGTGATTGAAGAAATTACTCTGCTATAGTGAAGGATTTTGAGATCTGTACATACTGAATAATGCTATAACTTTCTTAACTCTGGAGTTATTAGTGGGCAAGAAACACTGTCTGTAAACAACTGGTATAAAGTTGGAGAAAAACTGTGCACGTTTTACATGGATTAATTACTGTTGTTATTTTACAAACATGTACTACTGAATGTGCTGCCAACTTCAGTCTAATCCAGTATCCCACAATATTAGGCTGTGAATGAGTATTTTTTAGTGATCTTACAGTAGACTCACCAATTGTTCTCTTACAGAAAATCAGAAGCATCAGCAAGGAAAGCACTGAATAAAATCGAGTCTTAGCAGTGGTGAAGACAGCTTTCAGTATATGCAAACACAGAATTGTCTTAGCAGTGGTGAAGACAGCTTTCAGTATATGCAAACACAGAATTGTCTTCTACTCTCCTTGATAGTAACCAAACACAGAACAATGATCGTCTTGCCCCATTTACAGGCTCATTCTCCCTGCTGACTCAGCCCGGAAGAATAGGAGCTGCTCACTTCTTTAATGCCAAGAGGACTCCTTACCATGCTGGAAATCCTGTGCCAGCCTCAGAAGTGCTCCCCAGCCATGTGCAACACATTTAAAACCCACAATTACCAGTGAGGTCCCTTCCTGTCCTTGTCAAGTGAAAAGTAATAATAAATTAATTTAAAAAACATTAATATACTATATATATTTATATATAAAATATATCATATATACATATATAATATAATGTGTAATAGATAACTACATACAATGTAAATCTATAGTATAATAATGCATGTACTAGACATTTCTGAGCCTGGGACTTACTCTAAGTAAACTCCTGTTTAGTACTTGCATTACCTGGCAGTGCAGTTTTTGGTCTGTTTTCTAACATGCAGCCAGTAGAAACAAACCCATGCTGATATGTTGTTTTTGCACAGCTATTGGGTCCCTCACAATACACCAGTGCAGGCCATAAGGTAAACTGGAAATGCCTCTGTGGCAATATCTGGCCTTCTAATTTTATTACTTAAATTAAGCCAAATAATGGATGAGAGGAAGTCCACTCTGACTTAACAGGGTGAGTGTGTCTGTAACATGCACTCAGTGCTCTGCTTCCTCATGTGGGTTGCTCAGAGTAGTGTCACTCCTGCTTATGTTTTAGACAGTGGTTACCTTTTCAAGAAAGAGGAATGATAATTTTAGGTTACTTTACGATGAGGTATCAAAGGACAATATTTGACATACTTTCCTTTTTTAAAATTTTGTCTAAGCTAATTGTCCTTTGGTATGGGAGGGAGAGTGATTGTWAAAACAACAGTAGTTTATTTACAGGTACTTGGGGTTTCACTGTAATTTTCCTGGGATAGTAGAAACATTAACCCTAATTCAGCAYAAAGAGAAGCAAAGGATTYCCATGAAATTGCCTTTGCAAGGCATTAGTGAGAATTCTAATTTAGTACTGATTTCACAGTTAMCTCTTCCTCTGTGAGTTATGGAGAAACTCTTCATCAAAATTTGGGCTTAACATCATCATAAAAAGTCCACTGACCCCTTCAGATGTTTATTAGGGTCATGTCTTCGCAGTGTATTACTTCTGGATTTTCTCTTATATTGATCCTCATTAATGTTTTATTTATCTACTTCTGAGACATTTCCAGTGCGTGGACCTGAGTGATTTGGGCTGCTCCTGCCAGGAGACACCGGCAGCCAGGGGATAGCCTGACTGCAGGGCTGAGATACTGAAGAATGAGATGGCTTCCCCACAACCTGAAATCTTGCCATCACTGCTGGATAGGTTTCAAGAAGACAGCACACAATTTAGGCAGGAGTCTCTGATGTGAGAATCTGAGTCAGGGTTTAAAGTTATAGCAAAGCCACAGCTCCTAATGGTCAACCCTTAAGCAATAATTTCAGAACCCACCCTCAAGATTTTCTGTAAATTTTCTTTCCTTTCCTTTAGAGCATCTGTGAAGGATGAGGAACTCCCAAAGGAAACGATGAGGAACTCCCAAGGAAACCTGTCCTTTTCCACAAAATATATGTCCTACTAAGAACTGTTGTAGTAAAAGCTGTTGACAAAGGCATTTCCCCCGCTCCCCTGCTGGTAAGTTCTTTACGTTTGAGGCATGAGTGACATCAGAAGAATGACAGCATGGAGGCTCCTCAGCTCTGGGAGACATCTGCCATGCGTCAGGCACTGATGAACTGAGGTTTGCAAACCACCAAGGAAAGTTGCCGCAGCAGGCAAAGTGAGGGCAAGATTATTAGGTTTTGTCCTTGGATGGAAAACACAGGAGGAGTTCTGGCCCTGTGGGATCCATTGATTCTGTTGTGGCCTGGGTTGTGTACAAAGTCCTGTCGTTTTGATTTAGAGCATTTATTTGTTTCCAAATCTCTTTCCCCACCATCCCTTGTTTCTACTCTCTCTGGGGATGATTCAGTGAAATAAAGCCACATGAGCCTAACACCCATCCAGTAAAAACACTTGAGGACACACTTTAAACCGARCAAGTGTTTTATTACTTCCTGAAGAAGAATGTTTTTATGAAGTGATACCCTTATGTTTATTACAAATACTATGTCTTGTAAACAAATAATTTTAACTAAAAGGAAACCTGTAGAAATTGCCCTTGTTGCCCAGCAATCAAATGAGGCTAGCAGAAGGAAGCAAGAACTTTAGAACAAATAGAAATAACTAATTCTATTACTGTCAGTTACTTGCTTTTGATTTTCTTTTCCCTCTTGATGTCTTTGTTCCTTCTTGACTGTCTGCTCCATTTCCTTTGTATTTTTCAGTCACATTGTTTTGTTTGGTTGTTTTTTAYTGGAACAAGTAAAACCCAGAAAATTACATTGTTTGTTTGACCACTGTGCTGACAACTCTTTAGAGGGCTGAGGAACTCAGTTCACTGAAGCCATCAGGGTAAATAGATAGTAGCACAGAAATCAGTGTGCTCCATGTGGGCCAGTATTTACCTTGGGTATCTCCATATTCTTTTGATGTGAAAGGAGTATTGTACTCTCCTCAGTGCTTTGCCACAGAAGCATTTCTCCAGCAGTAAAACTGAGAAAGCAGGTTTAATTATTAACTGCTTTGCACCTCAGTGGCTTCAACAGGCCTTGTGGAGATCTTGCAGATCATGGCACTCGGGCACACCCAAAGGCTGTGCAGACAGTCTTGAAAGRAACAGCTGGAGGTGACCATTCCCCTTTAAAGCCTCCAGCCCTCCCAGATAAACACCTGTAGAAGTGAGAAAGAGGAGCTGATGGCAGTGCAGCAGGCGGGAGGCTCCCGAAGCAYATGTGCTATCCTGCTGGCCCAGAGGATGCCCTTGCTGGGTGAAGGAGATAAGACAGAGACATGAAAGTGAGCTGGCTCCGGGTTTGGGGTTACACTGGAGCACAGTCCCAGGGTATAGCACTGGGCTTCTGTCAATGATTGCTACCTGCCATGATTGGCCAAGCACTGGGATTTGCCTGCCAGAGATCCACATCCATATGTTGGGATCTGTGTCACCATCCCAACCAGCATAAGCAGGCAGTGTGACACAGTTCCAGCAGGTCAGAGAGAGACTAAGGAGGCCAGGAGGACTAAGGAGGTCAGGAGGAGGCTCTGGTATGTGGGGCTARGATGAATCACCTCAACAGAGGGAAGGCTCATTCATGCTACACGCCCTGGTAGGAAGTGCAGGGCTCTTGCTGCCCGACTGCTGGATCAGGCAGAGCACACGCCAGGAATCCATCACTGATGACTACAGCAAATTATAATGACAGAGAGCAAGCAGCTCCTCCTCTCCTTCCTGGAACACTCCCCAGCCTCCACAATGCCTGTATGTTGCCATACAGAAGATTCCAGGAGGGGCCACACGTGTACACCCAAATCCTCGTTCACCCACGCAGTGTCCTAGAGGGCAATCCACTGGGATGGTTGTCTCCCATGGAGGACTGTGTCAGCCCAGCCTCTTACAACTCCTTGGGAAAATGTGAACAAACGCTATTGGCTGAGTTTCTGCTTCCAGGTTGTAACTGAGTCTCCATGAATCACTCTCCATGAAACATTTTTCCTGCTTAGGGTTAGACACGAAGGTGTTGGATACAATTATCAACAACACAGAAGCTTTGAACCAGTTAGAAGAAGGTCTCCTAATTCATTGATTTTTTTAACAGCTAGAGTTTATAAGTGTTTTGATAGTGCCTAGGGTAAATTTATATCACTACAGTGCTGCATGTACCGGAGCTTTAACAACACTGGTGCGCTGTGATGCTGCTCCTCAAATAAACACGTAATTTGCTTATTAATATATTACCCTTTTTACAAGGGGAATATCTTTCTGTAARGAAATTTTCAAGAAAGAGATAGGCTCTGGTTTATCTAATTGGCAAAGGCACAAAGTTTGTCTATTTTATGTGGCTAATAAAAAACTGAATAAGCATATTCCTAGAACTTCAGCTGGCACAGTTCAGGATCCTAAGGTTATACACAGTTTAACTGCAGCTTTTTGCACAAGAGCTTGACAAATGACAGGAAAAAAAGACCTTTATCCCCACAGTTAACTAAACAGATAATATACATTGTTAGTCAATAAGGGAGACGGAACACGTGTTTCACAAAGAGATTACTTGGAAACTTGACTGACAAGTCCTTCCTGGGACAGCCACAGTAACTGCTCTATTTAATAATTGCTTTGTCATCTTAGCAGTGATAGAAATGGGTTCCCTCCACTGGCTCTGCAGTTTCTGTAGAACATCATTTAATCCACCCCTGCTGATGTGAACTCATTTCCCCAGACATTAAGGCAGAAATATCTGGCTAGATATAAGGCAGGTTAACACAAATAAAGCTTGCAAGAAGCAATGTT